CCGCCGTCGTTCCGGCGCGTCATGCCCGGGGAGTTTGACGCCGTGCCTGAGCCGCCCCCCACCTTCAACCTCATCGTTATGGAGCTCTGCGGCGGCAGCCTGAGGGACGCCGTCAAGCGCGGCGCGTTCCACCGGCGGCCGGCGGGGCCGGGGGAGGCCACAGCGGTGCACCTCGACTCGGTCGTGGAGGTGCGCCCCCGGGTGCAATTGCAGGGCAGCCCGTGCCGCCGGCAGCGGGGGCCCGAGAGGGGTGGCATGGCCGCAGCCAGGGGCATGCGGTTGGCCTTGCCGCCTGCTGCCATCTCGGACCTGCCCGCACCCCCACCTGCCGCTCGCCCCTACCCCAAAACCCTGCCGCCCAAAACCCTCGCGCCTGACCCCTTCCCCCAACCCCGGCCCTCGTGGCCCGCCTCCCCATCCGCCGCCCATCAGGTCCTCCTGGACGTCGCCACCGCCCTGCAGTACCTGCATGACTCAGCAAACCTGGTCCATGGGGACGTGAAGCTGGACAACGTACTGCTCAAGTCCGACCCCTCGCGCGCGCTGGGGTTCACGCCGAAGCTCTCGGACTTTGGACTGACCAAGGTCCTGCAGTCCAGCGCCGGCGGCTACGCCGCCATCAACTTTGCGGGCGCAGGTGCGCGCGGGAGAGGCGGCCCCGCTTTGGCCGTCGCGAGCTGCGAGGGACCTCGAGGCCGCTCGCGCCGCGCGGCGCCCGGCTACTACCGCCCTTTCCCCGGCTCTCGCCGGCGTCCCCGTTTCCCTGGCCCCATCCCGCTCCCGCTCCGCGCGGCGCCGCCCGGCAGGCACCATCACCCACCTGGCGCCCGAGCTGTTCAAGGCCGGCTCAGAGATCACTAGCGCTGTCGATGCCTACGCCTTTGGCATCCTCATGTGGGAGCTGTTCACCGGGAAGCGCGCCTTCCAGGGTGAGCTGCTGCACAGGCACCCACACCCCCCCTCCCAAAACACAAACACACACACACACCCTCGGGGCTTCGCGACGCATCGTGCACGATGAGAGGGGTCGGTCGACTCGGACGTACCGGCAGCTCCGCGGCTTGGCCCTGCCGTGCTGGCTTTGTGAGAAGCGCCGCGGCTTGACGGCCGCCTCGCAGCTGCTGGCAGCATTTTGCGGCGGCGGGAGCAGCAGCGACAGCACCAGCACCAGCAGGTTGCAGCGGCAGCAGCACCACCACCAGCAGGTTTAGCAGCAGCAGCAGCGACAGCAACAGCAGCGGTGGCAGCAGCAGCGGCAGCAACAGCAGAGGCGGCGGCGGCGCAGCGGCAGCGGCGGCAGCAGCGCCGGTGCCTCCAGCCCCCTCCCCTTCCGCCCTGTCTCACGCACCGTCCAGGGACCCCCCTGCCACACGCCCTGCTCAGACTCTCCATACACACCCCCCTGTCGCCCACACCCCCTTGTCGCGCCCGCGCAGGCCTGTCTCGTGAGGCCATCATGAAGGGCGTCACCGCGCACAACAAGCGCCCCTCCTTCCCGCCGGGGACGCCCCCCGAATTCGCTCAGCTGGCCGGCCGCTGCTGGCTGCGCGTGCCGGCTGACCGGCCGGCGCTCTCCCAGATCATCATGGCCCTGCGCCAGATGCGCGCGCAGCAGCGCACGCTGCTCGCCAAAACGCTGGCGGCCGTGCCGGCCGCGCCGCCGGCGCCACCAGCCGCGGCCGCCGCTGCTGCTGCCGCGCCAGATGCCTGAGGCTGCGTGCCGCATGGCGGCGGCGCGGCGGGAGGAGGCGGCAATGAAAAAAAGTACTGAATCTGAGGAGGTTGCACCGCGACCCCATGTGGTCATGGGATGGCCGCCTGTGTCCTCAGGCGGAGCTTAGGATGGTGGGTTATTATGGTGGGTTATTGTGGCGATCGACGCCTATTGCCAAGCCGGCGCGTTTGCGCCGGCCGGCGCGGCAGCACCGCATCGGGAGGCGTGGGCTGAACGTATGCAACACGTGGGAATACTCGGCTCAGCTCCTTGAGCGGCCGGGGCGGCAGCATCTCATGGGCGCACGGCACACAAAAGGGTGTGGCCTGAGAGGCGGCGCCCGCGGCGACACGTCGGGCGCCGCGTCCCAGCCGAGCCAATGCACCCTGTTGACTTGGACACAGGTTCTTTCTCGGCCAGCCACCCGTCTTTATCGTCACGCGATCGTGATTACTACTCATCCCCACACCTTCAATGCCATGCCACCCTGCGATTGATGTGGGTTCTCATGTTTTCTTACTGCTTTGTCTGCATGAGAGCAACCTGCTTGGCGCCAGCAGCGGGCCGACTCGGAGGCACCAGCAAGCTTCGCGAGTGCGAGGCGGCGCCCCACTCACCCCCAACTTTATCCCCAGCTGTCCCCCAGCGCCGACTGCTGGTGTGATGCCTGGACTGCCGCGCCGCCTTGAGCGCCCGCGCTGGCGAGATGCCTGGACTGTGAATCGCTGGAACAACAATAAAGCAAGTCTTCGCGTTTTTCCTCTGGACTGCACTCTCGCATCCAGGCCCCCAACGTCGCCATCTTTTCGGCGCCCTTACACTGGGGCTCACCGGGCTCACCGGCCCCTGCCAACGCCCCCTGCCCCCCTGGCGTTCCAGGCCGCCCGTCGCGCCTCAGCGCCCCGGCGGCTGCGCACGCCTCGGCCGAGCGGCGGCAATCGCGCCGCCACGCCGAGCGTGCCGCACTGAAGGCGGTTTGCGGCAGCGCCACGGCTCGAGGATGTTTGCGGCTGCGTGCAGCGCGCCACACTCGCTTGTTTTCGCCTGGCCTGTATGGCCCCGAACTGATCAGCAAGCACGCAGCACTTGAAGTGATTTTGCCCACACATCAGGGGCCCCTCAGAAGGATGGCCACTCCCCGGGCAATGCATGGGTTACGGATGGCGCTGGCACGTCACAGACTGTCTGCCACCGCGCACTGGAGGACTCCGCGAAACCCCAGCGCCGCTATTGGCAGCTGCGGCGGTCGGCAGCCGCGCCGGTGCACAATAATGGCACTTATGCGGGTCGGGCGGGGCCGCACTTTATTATGGATGAGTATGGTTCGGTCGCGCGCCCACTTCGAGCGCAGCACAGGTTTTCGTCCCGCAACGGGCCAAGGTTGGCCGCCACCCTGCTGCTCGTCCCTCGACGCCACAGGGCTTCGAGCGACAGAGCCTCTAGTTCAAATTGCGCTTGTGCGGCCGCCCCTTGGCGAAGCCCTACCTGATAGGCACCTGCACAGCTGCCTTGTAGCCAAATCGAAACCAGGCCGCAGCACACCGCCCCCTCTTTGCCCCGCGCATAAGCGTGCACACACACTCCCCTCGTGTTCCCTAATCTGCGCTGCTGCACCGCCGGGCTGCCGCCGGGCTTGAAACCATGCGCGCATACGTCCGTGTTTGTCGGTCTACCAAAGTCTCGCACTCAATTGTTCCCTGCTCACACACAACTCCCAGGTTTGCCTGCTCTTGTCGTTTTTTTGCCTTGACAACTGCTCTGAAGGTAACTGTGAGGCTGCATGCTCCTACGGCAGGGCTGGCTGTTTCAATGGTTGACCTGCACGTCGCGCGGAAGAGGTAGCACACAGTGACAGCGCGAGGATGCTCTTTGACATGTATCACAATTGTGTTTCACCTGTGCGTGTTTGTGGGTAGACAAGCTTCCATAGTACTGTCGCCGTTATGGTAGGGGTTGCGGGTGTGCATACAATGGGAGGTGCTAGGCTCGCGTGGGGCCATGCGGCAGGGAACGGGGCGCCGAGAGTGGTGTGAGCAAGAGCGAGGGCGCGCGGGGCGGCGCGCGTTCACGAGGTCAACTCTGTACCGGGCGTCAACAGCGGCTGTCTGCCTGTTGTCAATGCCGACTTGAAGCAAGGTGCCGTTGCCCCTGCGTATCTGACGCACGCGCATGCAGGCAGCCCAGGGCCATTTGAGGGAGGGGGCAGGGTGTAGGCCAGCGACGAGCAGGCGCAACAAGCGCCCTGCACTTTGGCGTGCCAGACAAGCATGCAGCATACAGACGAGCACAGCAGTTTACAGCTTGGAATTTGCTGCCGACGGCCGCGACAGCAGCGGCAGCAGCAGCAGCAGCGACGAGCAGCAGCAGCAGCAGCAGCAGCAGCAGCAGCAGCAGCAGCAGCAGCAGCAGCAGCAGCAGCACCAGCACCAGCACCAGCACCAGCACCAGCAGCAGCGGTGGACGAACGACACCTTGGCGGCGGACCAGGGCAGCACCAGGGTAGGGCCACCCTGCACAATGCACTTTCCCTTGTTACAATCCTCTGCACCCACCAAAAATCAGCAAGTGTGCCTGCCACCAAGACTTTCTGCTGCCCGTTAGCACATTTCACCAGACAGGTGTCAACCCACAAGTGGTGGGGCAGCCAGCCGGCAGCCGCCAGGCAGTGCAGGGCGTTGCTGACACGCTGTGGACAAACACGGCACGAACAGGTCCACCGCGCGTGCATCGATTGTGATTACAAGTGCGTGGGCAGGTGTGCATGTGTACAATTTATTACGTGCGTCAAAATAGTGAGCAGCAATGCCATGGGTGCGTGACGAGGCACGATGGGCAGCGGCTCTTTCCAGCTGGTGGGGATTGCATTGGAGCGTGGTCGCACACACACTGTTGATGCTGGCGGGGTTGTGCTGCTACTGCTCTGCGCTGTGCCTGTCTGGGGAGCCCGGGCCATTGGGAGGGGCACCGGCTGCAATCACCAGTGACCCACCACTGCAAGACAAGAATTCCCCCCTTGTTAGCGCTTTATATGAGGCTGTGGTATTGACAGCAGGAAAAAGCTTCAGGATTGTCTAAGGAATGTACGGGACACGACCCTGTTTCACCGCGTGCGCCACACCCACCTGTCGGCCGCGAATCAGCCGCCGGTGCTGCTCCCAGCTAGCCATGCGAGAGAGCACCGTTATGAGTACGTTGAGCTCAGCAGGCCGCAGCAGTCGCGTAGATGGCGTCGCACGTCGGCCTGGTGCCGTCCGGGGCCGTCGGCACGCCGACCACGTCCCAGGCCGCCTTGACCGCCGACACCTCCGGTGAGTTGGTGCCGTGCAGGTCCGCGGCCGCCTGGGTGGTGGCAGCGCGCGCCTCAAAGAAGTCGCTTGTCGGAGTGAAGTACTGGAAGGGGCACGAGGGGGGAGGAGGCGTAGGCAGGATGAGGTGGCAATGTGCAGCCACGCAATTGAGAGGGTTGGATGGGGCAGAGGTCGATCAAGGGCTGATGGGGGAGGGGTTGGGCGGCTCTCGGGGATGCACATGCTTGCACCAGAGGCAACACCATAGGCAGCAGCAGCAGCAGCAGCAGCAGCAGCAGCAGCAGGAGCAGCAGCAGCAGCAGCAGCAGCAGCAGCAGCAGCAGCAGCAGCAGCAGCAGCAGCAGCAGCGCAGCAGTAGCAGCGCAGCAGTGCCATCTGCAGCAGAGAATCATCGTCTGCAGGAATCGCAGCAGCAGTGGCATGTGCTGCAGCTGCCGTGGTGTGCCGGCACAATCAGAGGCTGCTGCTTGCGGCGCAAACAGCAGTGCTGTACATGGACATATATTCACCTGTGTAAGAGCCCGGTACACTATGCTGCAGGAGGTGGCGATCCCTGCAATGGGGGTGGGAGAAACAATCAAGACAAGATTCAGCCAGCACCTAAGGGTCGCAGTCAACAGACTGGTGCAACCAGCGTGTTGGGACATGGGCAATTGAGCAGTCAGACGGAAGACGTTTGCTTTCGTGTTGGTCGCTTTTGTTCATGAATTCTAACCACACCATAAACTCCGCCATGATACCTCAAATGTCTTTACCCTCCTCTCCGCCAGCCCCTTGCCAGTGTCAACGACCTCCTCTTACCGATTGAGGCAGGCTTGCTCGCATTGGGGCATTTGGTGAAACCGGAGGCCAGCAGGTAGAACCACCTGTTCAGGACGCCGCTGCTGTGGTGGACGTCCACCTGTGGGTTCCGCAACGTACGATGTTGCAAACGCTTTGTCACACACCATATCATCGTGATCATGCCGCATGAAGGTGGACAGCGAAGCCAATGCAGTGTGCTGTGCACACGAGGGTGAGGCGGACCCAGCGATGCAAACGTATATGCGCGCGCGAGCGCGCGCGCACACACACACACACACACACACACACACACACACACACACACACACACACACACACACACACACACACACGCGCGCGCGCGCGCGCACGCGCACGAACACGCACTCACGCACTCCCTCTCTCGCACGTGCACGCGCACACTCATGCGTTCAAGCACGCACATGTGCGTGCCGTTCAACGCCGGCGCACCTCGCAAAAGTTATCGGGAGAGGCATGCGCCTGGGTTTCTGCGTCAAAGCTGGACACAGGAACGTTGCGAATCTGCGAGTGGAGAATAGGAAACCTTGTTGAGTGGTTGCCATCAAGACAGGCCACATATAAAGATGTCGGGCCTGAATTGCCAATTCTGTTCGAACAGCTCCCGGCGCTGTGGTGCTTGGAGTGCCCTCTGGCACTAAGGGACAAGGGGCAGATAGCAAGCAAGTTGGCAGGCACGCACAAGGCAGCGGAGGCTGATCATCACTACTGCTGGGTGCAGGCGGGCATGTCGGCGCGAATTCGCAGCGACAATCGGCGGCCGGCGCACCCTCTGGTCAATGCTTGGGTCCCAGCACCCAAAGGACAGCCCGCCGTCCACTGGAGGGTTGGACATGCTCCTCAAAAACGGGGTAGTGCAGCTCTTGTTCGCGTACATCTCGGCCCCAATCAAAAAATTGGCGCCTTGGGGGTACAGCCCCTGGCCCTGCGCCCAGTCCACGACGCACTGCGAGAATACGTCTGCGTGGAGGGCGTCAGATCAAGGGGTGCAGTGGGGAAGATGAAGGTTAGGTACTTGGTTGTCAGACAGACGTGGGCCCTCACGGGCAGGGGCCAGGAGAGGACATTGTCAGCACCGGCACCGATTACTGTCCTCTGCAGTGCGTCAGTTTTCCGTAGTAGAAGCAAGCGTGCGGCTGGCCGTTGCCCTGATACAGCTGCAGCACGCACCTGATATCCCCTCATTGAGGCCCCCAAACGAGTTGGTGTAAGCGAGTTGTGCGGAGAAACTGCGATGAAGAGGACGCGCCGGGATCAGATGTTTGGCCAGAAAAGTGGCGGGATGTCAAGCTAGTGCGCGAGTGGAGGTTTCTTTGGCTCCGCTCACACCGCCCATGCTGTGCACGCCGCACACGCCGGCCACACATGTGCAAGCAGGCACAGGATTGCCATGCGAGAGGAGGATGGTTGCGCTGGGGCTGATGGCTGCACCGGCCTTTGCGCAAGGCTGGCTGCCCAAGACGACACAGCGTGCGAGATTGAGCCCAAGACAAGGCCGGCACATTTCTCAATAGTCCAAGCTTCAGTTAATATACGGGTTCAGCATTGGGTGAATATGGGCCTGCTGGAAGAAAGAAGCTCACTCGGTGATGCCGTGGGTGACCTCGTGGGCGACGATGTCTAGCGGCGTGAGCGGTGTGAAGCCGTTACACCCGTTCAGATCGAGGCGGCTGCGGGGCAACAGGGGACGGGGGGCGCGGCAGCGGAGCACTTCGAGGACGCACAGACGCTGCACGCGCGACTTGCGCGCCTCGCCGAGCACACATACACCACGGCGCATACGTGATGTCATGAGTACTCCTTGCCTCTCTTTTTTATCCCCTCTTCCTTCCCCTGCCTCCCTCTGTCCCCCATCCTATGCTAGGCCAGCGCATGCTTACCTGCCATCTCCAAAGAACATGCTGCCGGCTGCGGGCACCAAGGCAGCAGGCAGTGGCAGAGCTCTCAGTGGCTATCACATTAGCAACGAACGCTCATTGACCCTGGCCGCTCGGCCTGACTGCCTTGAAAAATGGCCGAAACTCCCTTGAGTCATGCCTCCAGAATCAACATCATGTCCAAGGCTCGCCTCCCCCCAGCAACATCAAACTCCCAGCAGCCCACCATTGTAAAACGCATTGTTGTAGCCTTTCCCTACGTGAACAAACGAGTCGATGGGCGTGTTCTTGTTGTCCAGGCCCTTGCGGCCGTGCACCTGGAGGTAGTACTGGTAGACCTGCGCCACCGTCGCGCAGGGGGGTACAGGTTTTGGGATATATTCTTGGAGATCACTTGATAGGTTGGTCAATTTGGTCTAGTAGTGCAATAACATCATCATAGCAATTGAAGGTTCAGGATGACAGATGAGCAGTGAAAAGTCGGATATAGAAATCACAGCTTGTAAGGGATACGCCAACTGTCTGCCATTTCACGGTGTACGCTGAATCTGTACGCGGTGTGTGCGCGGGG